CCCCCCCCCCCCCAAATAAATTTGCTTCTCAATTTAAGATTTATCCCACACAAATTTGCCCCAAACTGAATGAATGCTCCCAAATATAAAAATATCCAGAATTGGTACGGTATTTTTTTCATGCTTGAGTATAAAACACTTTTTTGAAGGTCGACTCTGATCTTTCCCTTTCTAGTTCCATGCGAGTTATTGAAAAATGTTTAGAATAAGCAACATATAAATTAGCTCTTAGGTTTTCCTTGTTAAAACTTTATGAATTGAGAAATAATATATTAATCGATATCATATTCAGATTTGAGTTAAAGGCCAGAAACCATAAATGAATATAATAATATCCGAAAATATTAACCTGCAAACTGAAAATGTTTTTGCTTTATATTATACATCAAGAACTGTCTGCAATAAAACTTGAAGAAGTTAAGCATGAAAATCTTTAGTTTTCCCAAAACCAACAAAATCGAATTTTATAAATTACAAGCAAATATTCTCCTAAAACCTACACCTTTATTTTATACAAAATTTCAATTAGACTCCATATCGTTACTTTTTGCTTTATAATAAAATAAAATAATTATAAATAGATATTAGCTTGAAATGAATTAATTGAAACAGAAGAAATATTTTTAAACCATTCTTTCTCATATTAAATACAACTTATTCCGAACTATAAGCCAAACAATTGATTTATAAAGTACTCATTTTTTAAATTTAAATAAAAATTAACACATACAGGGTTACCCACAAAGGATGAAACTTCATAGACGACGGTGAGGAATTTACAATGTCTGTTTCATTAACTTAATGATTTCCAGCAACTGCAAACTGTATTTTCTTTCGCCAAATCATTAAAAGCCATCATAGTTTATAATCTGACAATATTCAAGACAGAATATTTAAATTAACCACGAGATCCACGATTATTCTATTAGAGGTTTACATTCAGTATTTGATTCTAAATGTCGTCTTGATAATTCTGCATTTTAAAAATTGGCCTTCTTTCAATAGAGGGACTGTAAGTGTGGTTTCAAGCAAACATTGCAATACCTGATATACGACACCCTTGCTGCCTTAATCTGATAAATATGTGGAAGATACATAGATAAATATCTATAAATATCTATGGGAAGATACCTTCGGTTTCCTAACTTAAATAGTGTTTTAATTAACTGATAATTTCTCCATTGCTTCCAATAAGCAGGAAATGCGCAAGTCACTTCAACAGAGAACCCGCAAATGAAAATAATCAGTTAAAAGAACTAAACTTATAATTTTAATAACTTATATATCACACAATGCTTTTAAGGTTACAGTAATAACCCCGACAAATATACCATCTGAATTTATGGAGGGTCACTTGCAATTACGCTTACAGTCCCTTTAAACAAAGGTTAACCTTTTAATAAACTGAAAACGAAATTTCAAGTTACCCGGCCATTTTTAAAGTGAAATTTCAGATCTAACTTATTTATACAAGATTAAACCTAAGATTGCTTCTCTTTTTAAAGGTTTAATTTTCTATTGTCGATTCTCTTAATACTTAAGCATTTCTGCTTCAGCAAAAATATGGAGAATATTGTCAGAAATTACACTTCAAGTCAGATATACGGAAGCCATGAGCCACAACCTTACGGTCTTCCATGCTACAGCATTTGAGTCCGGCAGTTATTACGTTCTTAAAAAACAGCTTTGTAATTGAGATTTTCAAAAATCCAGCGATCCGTGATGCAAAAGTATATATAAAGATCTTATTCTTAACGTTTAAGTTTTCAACTGAAATAATGACGATTCTTTCAGTGTTAACTGCTTAACTTATTTCCCCCAAAAAATAAAAATTTTCCTCTTATTTTGAAAACCTTATGAACATTAAAAAAATTGAGAGAAGAAAAGTTGCATCACATGGGCTCCTGAAAATTTATTTCAAATTTTGCTCTAAATCACTGATCAAATACTGTTCTGGAGAATAAAACACTTAAATTCCTTGTTCTCCTGGTGGTGCTGGGTCTGAGGTATATTTTCTTCTTTGGATCTATCTTCTGGATCAGCTGCTACGAGACTATGAATATTCTCCTCTAACAAGTACATATATAAGAAATATTACAGTGTTCCATTAGAGCTCCTATATTTCAATCTGTTCTATATCTACATGGTTTACATGTAGTCAATGTGAATCGCTGATATAAAGTTAACACAATATTATAATATCTAAAATTGAACTTATTCAATATGGCTGGAAAAGGATCTGGTAAGAAAACTGGAGGTAAAACTGGTTCTCCTGCTAAACCTCTAACACCTAAGGATTCTGTATCATGTATTGTGAACAAGGTTACTGTAGCTACTCTGTGTGATAGTCTAAACCAGCTAAAGATCAGCCTAGGTCAAACCCCAGACCAGCAACAGAATCTGGATATTGTGGACACAGGGGAACAGGTGGATATAAGAGAAGTCATCTCTAACCTTATCTCTGCTGTTCAAGCTATTACCAGCAATGTAAACAAGATTAAATCTACTCAAGAAGAACAGGAAACCAAGATTAGATGGCAAGGAGATGAGATTAACGAAATTAGACAACGAGGTTTCAAGGGTAATGTGATAGTTTCTAGCTTACCAAATCAAGCTCAAGGAAAAGTCTCCTTGATAACAAATGACGAGGAACTAAGGAGAGAGAAGATTACAATGCAATCTCATATTATCAAACTAGTACAGGAGAAATACGACATCACAATTCCAGAATCAGATATTCAGGCCTGCCATCGCCTTCCAAACAAGTCTGTTCTCCTAAAAATCTGGAATAGAAAGTAAGGGTCAGCTTGGGAAAACCTAGTACGGAAGATTAAATCGCCAGAAAACAGCTCTTTCAATGTTTATTTCAACTTCCAGCTGACAAATAAACGTTCCAATCTTCTATACGAGTGTCGGATGTTGAAGAAGACAGGCAAGATTGACAAATTCTATTCTGATGAGAACGGGCATATCAAACTGAAGATCAAGAAAGATTCTAATGATAAGGTCAGGATTACATATGTCTCTAAAAATCCTCAGGATATACCGATCACCTTTACCGAAGAGGAGCTGGGAAAACTTTTTGTTTAAAGTTTTAGTTTTTCTTTAAAAATATTAATGTTCTTCATAATTCTTTATGGATATATTTAACAAGTCTATAATCCTACATTTATAGTTAACCATTTCAGCAATCACGTTATTTACTATGTTATTATTTGTTTATCATTATCTATTTGTATTTTATTTATATTTTTACAATCACTCCATCTTGAGTTTCCTTTTCTTAATTTTCTTTTTTACTTCCTTCTTCCCTTTTTCCTCCCTTTTCTTTTATTTGAAATGTTCTTCAAGGGGTTTGGAGACGCATGGGTTGGAATTAGTTGATTGGTTTAATGTAGGTCGGGTGGGATATTTTGGGGCTCAGCACACACAAAAGTTTATTAACAAATATGAATAACACTTATGGGATACAGGGTGATATGTATCAAGATCTTAAAAGTAGCTTAAATGATGTCGAATTATTGAATAACTTGGATGGAAAAACATGTAAATATTATGATATTGATGAATTTCAAACCAAGTTTAAAAATAATTCAGATAATTTCTCTGTGTTCTCTTTAAATATTCGTAGCTTGACTGGTAAATTGAATGAATTTCAAGAGTTCATAAGTGAATTAAATTATAAAGATTTTAATTTCAGTGTAGTTTCCATTCAGGAAACTTGGGACATCCCAATTCATTTAAATACAGATATACCTGGTTACAAGCCTTTAATATTTAAAACAAGAAAATCTTTAGAGTATAATAGAAACAATATTGGGGGAGGAGTTGGATGTTGGGTTAGAGATATTTATGAACACGAGACCATAGATAAAATATCATACTTTGAAGATAAACTTTTTCAATCACTCTTTATCAAAATAAAAACTGGAAAAAAGGATTTCAAAATAATAGGAAATATTTATCGGCCTCCTGGATCAAATATAACTGTTTTCTTAGATAAATTACAAGAAATTCTAAACATTATTTCTTCTGATCAATTATTATCTAAAGCTGAAGAAGTAATATTGATGGGAGATTTTAATATTAATCTTCTAAATCATGATAACCATGTTGGAACTTCTAATTATTTGAATACCCTGCTTAATTTTGGTCAACTTCCTCTTATCACACTTCCTTCTAGAGTTACTTATATTGTCACCAATATGGATTTAGAACCAAACATGACACCTCACATCCACTTTTACAATTCTTAGATAAAATTTACCAAGGTTTGAAAAAGGATGAATCTGAATATACCTTGGGAGTATTCTTAGATCTAAAAAAAGGCCTTTGATACTGTTGACTTTGAAATACTTTTAGGAAAGCTGAATCATTATGGGTTCAGAGGTATCACTAACGAATGGCAAACTTCCATTATCTTTTAATGGAATGTTTTTAGCGTTAGCAGAACCAAACAGAACAAAAAGTTATAAATTAGAATTAGTTAACAATAAATATCTAGAAAGTTTTCCTACGGTTTTTCTTCCAAGGACCTGGAACTCTATTCCATTGGAAATAAAATCATCAGGCACCCTAGCAAGTTTTAAAACAAGTTTTCTTCCAAGGACCTGGAACTCTATTCCATTGTAAATAAAATCATTAGGCACCCTAGCAAGTTTTAATTATTATTTATTTTTTTGTTATTTAGGGTTAGGTTATGGTTAGGGTTAAGGGGGTGGGGGTCCAAAAATCGTTATCTAGGAATATACCTTATGCCTTTAAGATCCACACACAATATTATTGTGAAAGGGGGCCAGTATAAGGGGGTGGGGGCAAGTACTATTTTCAAACAATCAAATTTTAACAAGTGGTAATAGTGAAAACAAAATATTTGAGTTTATAAATAAATAATTTAGAGTGTATAAATTTAATCATAATACCTGACGAATGCGTAACCTCTTGATTTGCCCGAGAACTTATCAGTCGGGATATAAACCTCGTTTATCGTTCCGTACTTCTTAAACAACCTCTCCAAGCTCTTCTCCCTGGAGGTGTACGGCACCCCGTTCACCTTTATAGTCTTCATCTTTAGTTATTACAAGAGGATTCTGAAATTAGACACAAGTTACGAATGTAAAGTAAGTTAGAACGTATTTTTTATACATAATCAGAAGCACTGGGCAGTGACTGTGAGCAACCTACAACACACAGATATGTTTAATTAACAAATGCTATGCTCATGCGCATTGCGCCAACTGCTGTCTGTTTGAGAGCATCAAATTTTAAATGTAACGCGGTAAAGTTAGTTCACAGAAGTCGTCTTAGTTTGCCAAAATAAAAAATTAAATTATCTCCAATCTTCATCGCAGAAATAAGCACATGATCAGTGATCTAGCATTTTCTGTAAAAAAATTTCTATTATCCTTCTTAAATTTTTCAAAATGATTCATTCTTCTTAAATTTTCTCCCAAATCGTTATCTAGACCCATTGACGCGGTCTAATTTTATGTCGGACACCCTGTATTATAATGAACCTTTTATTGAAATATATTAAAATAATTGAATTACTGAGAAAATTCAAAATAACAATAATATTCAAAATGTCATTTTTTATTCATTATTTTTTTCCCGCATCAATGTTGCTTTACGTTAATACTGATATCACTAATGATCACATAAGGTTATGTTCCGTACAAAAGTATAAAAATTGGTAAGATGTTCAAGTACACATTCTTAAAAGCGTATTTTTAGCTGCAATAACTATTAAATTTACATTTTGACTTGGAATTTTTGTACTAATCTATCTAGCGAGGGAGGGGATGCCGGCCGCCATGAGCCCGTGAAAAATGGTCTCCAATCTCCAAGCCTCCGTATTTGCAGATTAGTATTTAAAATGACCTGGCACTACCCCTAAACGTTAGAATAGATATTATAGAAGTATTAAATAACATGTTAAAAGTAAAATATTTGATCTTTAAATAGTTAAAAAAAATTGCATAATTATTTAATATTAAATGTATTTTATAAATTTTTTACATAATTTTTTATATCAATTCTAAGGATTGGGGTAGCGCCAGGTCATTTTAAATACTCATCTTCGAATCCCGAAGCTTGGAGACCATTTCGCGGGGCTCATGGCGTCCCTGCACTCCCTCCCTACCCTAGCAGTTCGTTTTCGCACTACTCGTGACTTCGCGAGGGATTAAAGGAAGGGATTCCATCCCCAGTACATTACTGCAAGGTTCTTTTCTGCGGAAGCTTCTCTGATCACGTGATCGACCTGACCTTCTACGCTTAACGGGGGGTTCAGGTTCCCTAAATATACAAACACAAGTAAAGAAAAAACGTGGAACTTACGACAATAATAGTTCAATCAGAACTAAGTGAACAGCTAAAATATAATAATAATCATTTATGTTGAAAACGTATACGATAAACACAGAATCAACAATTACAATTTCCCCCGTTGATTATCACTACTACTTTTCATTTTGTTCTAAATTGTTTTTGTTTTAATTGGTTTTATTTAAATTGAACATGGATGTATCGCTGCAGAAGGGCCTCTCATTCAAAACAACCAATAATGGTTAGAGAGGCCCTGGCTACATTAAAATGTAAAAATTGTGAAACTTAAATTGTTTTTAATTAAATATTTAGTCAAATATATATCTATCTAGTTATCTAAATCCTTTCTTCTTACGACTCTTGTTTTTAGTTGAAAAAAGTATTACAAACTCAAACTGAACACATGCTTTTAAATCAACTTTTATTGTGAATTGACCAAATAAATCTTAGAACATTTGAGAATTTATTAACGAAGCTCAATGAACTGGAAAAAAATATACTAGAATCGAAAAAAACACAGGAGAAGGTACAATAATATTTATAGTTAATCCTTAAACTGATTTCTGAAGAAACGGGTGAAAAATTTCTCAAAAAAGAATAAAACAATTTTTTTTTATTTTCCAAAAAAGAAAAAATTGAAATATTATCATGACACACAATTACTTATTCAGCATTTACCAACATAAAATTTTAATTCTGAATTATTATCAAAATATTTAGCTGGAACAATTTTCTTTAAAACGTAATATAAACACGATCTTCTGCAGAGTTTGATGTTTGATAGACAAGGATTATATTTAGCTCCTGCTTCTTCTCTCACTTCTCATGCGAGGACTTGGAGTCCTCTTTCTGGGACTTGGACTTCTTTTTCTGGGACTAGGACTTCTTCTTCTGGGACTTCGACTTCTCCTTCGAGGACTTGGACTTCTCCTGCCCCTGCCTCGGCTTCTCGACCTTCCTCCCCTGCTTCTACTCCTGGATCTCCTTCCACGGCTTCTGCTTCTCCTCCTTCAAAAAATTGAAATATCAAAAATAAATTCCATTAATGTATAAAAGATTTTTTTCACCTAAAAACAAAATCAAATCAAAGTATGAATGAAACAAACAAAAAAGACGACAGGTTTATAATTTTTGGTATTATTCAAAAACTGTTCAATAACTTGGTTGTTTTACCAGAGCTAAAAACTTAAGAATGGTGGATATCAAGATCAATGCTTGATCCTCTCTTTTTGCTAATCTCAAAACTAATTTAGTCTTTGGATTAATTTTTAGAGATTTTAAAAAACCGGTTTATATTTTTTCCCGCATTTGTGGTGTTATATCAATTGGACTAATGATCGATTGAACGAACGTAAGTTTGAGATTAAGGTTTATTAAGACTAACGTTATAAAGGGCGATAGTCCTTCTCCTAGATTAAACTTTACCTGCTCCTACTCCTAGATTAAAGTTTCCCTGCTCCTGGTCTTACTCCTAGATTAAAGTTTACCTGCTCCTGCTCCTACTCCAAGATTAAAGTTTACCTGCTCCTGGTCCTACTCCTAGATTAAAGTTTACCTTTTCCTGCTCCTACTCCTAGATTAAAGTTTCCCTGCTCCTGCTCCTACTCCTAGATTAAAGTTTACCTGCTCCTGCTCCTACTCCTAGATTAAAGTTTACCTGCTCCTCCTCCTACTCCTAGATTAAAGTTTACCTGCTCCTGGTCCTACTCCTAGATTAAAGTTTACCTTTTCCTGCTCCTACTCCTAGATTAAAGTTTCCCTGCTCCTGCTCCTACTCCTAGATTAAAGTTTCCCTGCTCCTGCTCCTACTCCTAGATTAAAGTTTCCCTGCTCCTCCTCCTACTCCTAGATTAAAGTTTACCTGCTCCTGCTCCTACTCCTTCCCCGATCCCTCCTACTATTCCCACCGGACTCGCGAGCCCATTCCATGCTCAGAGAGCGTCCATCAAACTTCTTCCCATCCAGTGCGTCATATGCATCTTCAGCTTCGTCCGCGTTGATAAACCTAAATAAGAATACTGATTTAATTCAAAGTATTGTAATAAAAAACCATATGATTTGCACTCATTTATTTACCATTACCCCCTTTAATTCACAAGAACCAGTAGTGTAAATTGCAAGGTTGTGGAATAATAAAATACGGCATTCAAATTGCAGACTTAAAAACTATATAAAACCATGTAATAAATTTCTAACATGTTATAGGAAACTGATTCTTTGTGGACAAAAATTCCATAGTTCTGAATATTTGACAAATTTAACTGAATAATAATTAATTAGTTCCCCAGCCAACAGGGAAACATGTTGGAATGGAAGAATCGAATTAATAATATATTTTTTAATATTGTGTGGGCCGGGGGAGGGAGGGGGGGGAAATATTTTTTTATTTTATTACGTTGGAAAAGAAATGTAAAGGAATTTATATTAGACATGTACTGCTGTTTCTGGGAGGAATGTAAACAAAACTTAGCCTTGTCAGCACTGCGTGTGTTTACAATCCCCAAGGAAACTGCAGTACACTTAATGTTTTGCGACTTCCTGTTATATGCATTGGCTGGGGATTCTGGAAAAATAAACAACTATAGCTAAAAACCAAAAACCAATTGAACCTTGTTAGTAATTATCTTAAAAGCATGAGCAAAATATTAAATATTAAATGAAAAACATCAATTTGACCAAAAAACGGCCATAATTTGTATGTAAATAGTTGTGTATAATGTGCAAGTATGGTTGAAAATCTAAACCTATAATCAGATCTACCTGAGAGCTATTTAAAAACAGTTTTGAATTATGGAACAAGTAGAAAATCGAACAAAATCAGGAACATAAACTCAGAAATGAATCGGAACAGGAACGGCACATGATCAAAACGGAACAAAAACTCAAGAACCAATAAAATCACGAAAATGCTAAGGCCGGAACATGAACAAGAACTGAACAGGAACAAGAACTGAACAGGAACAAGAACTGAACGGAACATTGAACAGACATGTGAACATGAACATAATAGGAACAAGAACTGAACGGAACATTAAACAGACATGAACATGAACACGATTGGAACAAGAACTGAACGGAACATTGGAACAGACATGAACATGAACACGATTGGAACAAGAACTGAATGGAACATGTGAACAAACTCTGCAACATGGAACAGGGAGCCTGGAACAAGAACAATGGGGAGAACGGAAGGGTGACCTAGATGGAACCAGAACAAGATCCTAGAACAGACAAATATAAGAACCATTTCTCCTATTACGACCCGGGGTACAAATTCTATCTGCATCAAATAAAAATAAAAAACAATAAGTCTAAATGTTTCACATAAAAATCGCTAAAAGGCATTGTCTGAAAAATGGACTCGCCCCCCCCCCTCACACAAATTTGTAAATATAAAAAACAGATTTTTAATTTAGGTATTTTTATGGATTGTGATAGGTTAAAACTATTTCTGGGCCGGGCCGACATTGTGCCTTCTATTGATTTCAAACAAATAAATCCTATATCTAATTTTTCAACATAAACTAGCGTAAATTAGAACTATGCCTGGGTCTGTCCTAGAGAACGATTTTTGGACCCCCCCCCCCCAGGCCCGTAGCCAGGGGGGGG